TAATAATTTAACCTTACTTTAGTATTTTATATTCAAAGTCAATGTATTTATTTACATTTGTATGCCATCTTAAAAAACGACATTTTCAACAAAAAATTAATCCAATATTTTTAACGATATTTATTTTTTTTAAAGTTTCGAATACTTTGCTGTGCGTAAACTACGTAAAAAACAGCGTTTTTCAAGATGGCTGACGATTGTAAACACCGCACCAACAATTGCGCCAAAGTAAATCGCTCAAAATCCTTGCAACCGTCTACCAAAGTAGAACCACAACATTATGCGGATTCAGGCTGCAGTATGTGAATTTGTTCTTTATGAATAGTTTCAAAAGTAATCATAGCATTCGTCTCTAAATTGTAATCAAAACTAAAAATAACCTTGAAATAAGCATTCCTTTTGCATTAGGAATATGAATTTTTGAAAATTTAAATAATTAAAAAGATATACTATATTAAACTCACAAATTTTCAAATAGATAATTTTTCACTTAAACTGCTGTAAGTAGAACATTAAATAAGATAAGATGTAACTCAAAATGATAAAGACTTTTATGCATTAAAGATAATAATACTAATTATAGAAATAGACATACATTTATGCAGATTTTTCATTATTTAATTTCTTCAAATATAATGCAGAACTCTAACATTTGGTGGCAACAGTCTGATTCGACGTAAATTCGCAAAACGAAAACAATAGTTCCTAAGGGACAAAGTTTCTTTGGATTAAAAATTTGAAACGTTTCAGATTATAACGGTTGCACAAAAGGATTTGCTAAGGAGTTTCACACTGCCGCTGTTCTGCTGTTACACTCACTTCTACTAACGCATTTTAATTTTTTCCTTTTTAGGTTTATTATTAAGCATAATTTTTAGACTTACACTATACAAAATTTAACAACAAAATCACAAAATTTTTAAGAGCAGCATAGCAGTATGCTTTTGGAATTTCCGATGCGGGGCAACTGTTGACATGCATTTTTCAATCATTTCTCAGTTCACCGTATCAACGTTCAGTTTTCTCCTAAGATTGTTTTGCAAAACCTTTCGTTGCCTTTTTATTATTAAAGTTTTGCGTGTTTAATTTATGTATTGAATATCACGTTCTTGGAGCTTAGGCCACAAAAATTTGATTCAACAGAAAAATTACAACATATTTGTAAACAGCATGTCATTAGATATTATCCGATAGACAATGTGACGCGTTGGAGATAATTATTTTTACATACAGTGTAGCTGTTACCGTGAAAGACCGAAATTGGAGAATGTCGAGTTTCACCGGAGAATATCAACATTCATCAAATACGTCGAAAGACCGAATATTTCACTACATGCTTGTATATTCGGACCCTCATCGGTGTATGTCGACAACCACAGATATGCTCTGGTGAAAGTAGAAAAGAGAGGTCATAAAGTGCCATAATAGTAGTTTAAGTTGTTGCAATAAATAAGATTTGAATCACATAATTTAGTAAGTTTTTTATGACTGTTATTTTATTTTCTCATTTAGAACGTACTGTATAATTAAGTAAGTTTTTTAACTTCTATTATTTTCCTTTCTCATTTTGAATGTATTGTGTGTTTTAGGTTCTCATGTTCTTATTTCAAGTCTCAAGTGCGTTTATTCGCGACTGAATTACGGAGAAGAAAATATAATATTGTTATATGTTAAACATTCACCACTAGTACATGGTGAATGTCGACATTGACCGGTGTAAGTCGGAAATAAGAGTATTTGGAAAATATTTCGGGCGTACACCAAGAGACTATGTGAATGCTGACATTCACCGGCGAAAGTCGACATTCTCCAGATTTCGGTCTTTCACCGCAACATAGCCACTGCTCTTTGAAATCGTTGAGTCTGTTGATCAGAAATTCGTTAAAAGTTTGAGAAAATATGAAATAGGTAATAAAATTAATTCGAAATTCAAAATTCGGGCTTCCAGACGCCCACGTTTGGACGGAGTTATTCAAAAACTGATAGCTCTGGAAATACTGTTGTTTTTTCCAATGCTAGAAACATTATTACATTTATGCAGTTTCTTCATTATTTAATTTATTTAAATATAATAAAGGGCGATAATATTTGGTGGCAACAATTTGAAACGTGATACGCCGTTTATAGTGATTCGACGTAAAATGCCATTTCGAGACTAACATCCCATTAAGGACTAACATCTCTTTTGGATTAATAAACTATTTTAAAGCGGGGAAGAATACATAATTTTAAAGCACTGAAGCTTCAAGCGAAAGAAATCATAAACAATGTTTTCATTATTTAATCAATAACTTTAAAAACTGACAAGGCAAGATTTCGGACTCCGTGTCGCCAGTCGCCATGGAACTTTTAAAACCGATCAAGTATATGAGCGAAACAACGGATGCAAAGTATGGTATTTCGTAAACATCCCCATCTTCCAAGAGCGTATAAGTGGTGCGAACGCCCGTAGTATTAGCAGCCATATATAGACAAATGTCCAAATACTTATTGATAGACAAATGTCCAAATACTTATTGGTAGACAAATGTCCAAATACTAATTGGCAGACAAATGTCCAAATACTAATTGGTAGACAAATGTCCAAATACTTATTCGTAGACAAGTGTCCAAATAGTTATTGGTAGACAAATGTCCAAATACTTATTGGTAGACAAATGTCCAAATACTTATTGATAGAAAAATGTCCAAATACTTGTTGATAGACAAATGTCCAAATACTTATTGGTAGACAAATGTCCAAATACTAATTGGTAGACAAATCTCCAAATACTAATTGGTAGACAAATGTCCAAATACTTATTGGTATACAAGTGTCCAAATACTTATTGGTAGACAAATGTCCGAATATAGACTGTAACGTATTTTGCAGTTTTTATCGAAATAACAGATGTCCTTTTATGTAAAAACATAAACTTTTATTCTCAATACCCAAATATAGATAATTTAAATTCAATCCTATCCGTTACAGCTTCCCACTCCAGCTTACAATTGCAGTTTCTTTCTCTATAAATTTTTCATACAAATACTAGCTGGTAACCCTTTCAGAATAGCAATTCTAAACATTTTGTCATGTTGCTCATCAACGGTTATACGGTACAAATATGATTTTGTCACTAAAATATCAAGGATAAATATCAAGGATATTATAACCCAAACCTAATATATCTCGGATATTCGAAGCATTATGTTGCCAACGAGTCACACGTCACGCACTCTTAGAATTTCATACACAAATCACGAAGAATGGATTAGGATTATTCAATTATGGCAAAGCACACGAGGGCTATCGACTTTCTAAGGGAAACTGGCTCGTATACACGTTACACATGGGAAAACCACGAAAACCCAACGCAGCCAGCCGGCTAGCAGAATTCGAACCGCGAACCGAACTACCAGTGTTCAGTTTCTTTACCGCTCGGCCGTTGGTGGGCCACAAATAATGAAGAATTCGTGTCATTTTTTGTTCTATTATACCACCTCTGTCATAACTGTGACAATATATCGCACTTTATTCGGTTTCTTTCTTGTACTTTCAGAAACATTGTTGTTAAATATTTTTGTTACTCGGGCGAAAAAGCTTACAAGTGTGTTTGGGAACAATGCTGCATATTGGGTAATTCTATGTCACTTCCCCCCCCTCACTAATATTTTTGCGCTTACTAGGAATTCATTAGCTGGTTACTTTGAGCTTACTATGAATTTGGATCAAGAGCCCCAGTCCCCCATACCAGAAGAAACAACAACAGACTACAAATCCACCTCTGCCGAACTTTATTGTGAGCACAATACATTCTGAAAGGAGACATTCTCTAGGCAGAAGCCAGAAGATGACCTTGCCTTCCGAACGGTAGAGGGTGAACCTTGATTTCTCCCTCCAGAGAACCCGTTTCCCATTGATCTACGGTCCACTGTTGACGTACTTTGCACCACATTAACCGAGCAGGGCGGTTGGATATTTTGATCATAGGTTTATGGACGGCAGCTCGACCATAAAACTAAGCAGATGGGCTTCCTATTCGGTAGCATTCATGGAAACAACACTCCCGGGTGCCTGTTGAAACTCCTGTTGGACCATCGGCTGGATGTGGCTGTTCCGAGGTTCTCTAGACAGTACCCGTCGGTCCCTATTTCTGAGTTTCGTGGGTATGCTTACTCGGCGCACATTCCGACAATCACAGCACACCATCCACTTTTAAATTACATAGGCCAGTGTCTATTTTGGGTGATTCAGATTGATAGATATGCCCCTTACGTATCGGCCATTTCAGGGATACCCGACGTTTATACCTTTCTCGGAATCGGATAATTCTGCACTTCGTGGCATCTTGCATTCTACTAATGCCAATGCCTTTTCCTACATGATATTTAGCGGCGGAGGGTGGGACGTAGTCAGAACCGCAGATATCGGCAGTGGCATGCCAATATCTTGTCCAAATACTTATTGGTAGACAAGTGTCCAAATACGTATTGGTAACAAATGTCCAAATACTTATTGATAGACAAATGTCCAAATACTAATTGGTAGATAAATGTCCAAATACTTATTGGTATACAAGTGTCTGAATGCTTATTGGTAGACAAATGCCCAAATACTTATTGATAGACAAATGTCCAAATACTAATTCGTAGACAAATGTCCAAATACTAATTCCAAATACTTATTGGTAGACAAATGTCCAAATAGTTATTGGTAGACAAATGTCCAAATACTTATTGGTATAAAAGTGTCCAAATACTTACTGGTAGACAAATGTCCAAATACTTATTGGTATGCTAAATGTTCAAATGCTTATTGGAAGACAAGTGTCCAAATACTGATTAGTAGAGAAGTGTACAAGCACTTTAGACAGAATAATTAACTAAACGATCTCACTATGTCTTCCTGCATATGTATGCAATACATTTGAATACCATTATATATTACATAATATACTATTCTTATTTGATGATTAACATACTACATAAATTGGAAGAATTTATTAAGAATTAGTACTTACGTGGAACAGTCGAAATAGTTCTGTTTTTATCTCTGTTTTCCAGCCTATGACCACCGGCCCTGTCGCCTATTGTGAACTTGGCAGACGTTTTGCAAATTTTCTGAAAAATGAAAAGTTAAAGAAAATGTATAATTATTCATATTCGTATTATTCATTTTAACACATTTAAGGCAAAATTAATAGCTATTTTCTCTACTACAAAATTAGGTAAGATTATAAGAATTATCGCTTTTCCCCCGTATGTGCTGTAGTGGTGTAACTGATAGTATATCCAACTACAGTTCGAAGATGAGTGATCGAATCCCATTGAATGCATACTAGTTGATATATCATGTTTCCTACTCGTAAATAAGCCTAAATGTCATTACAATGGAGCCATAACCAACAATTTGGTGGGCAATTATTTGTCAACATCTGCGTTGGGTCGATTGCGTCTAGTGCATCTATATTCGTATATAAATAAGAAAAAATTCAAATAGAAGTTAAAACTAAGCTTAAGTGATTGAGTATTGACAACTTTAGTCGATTGTTGTGTAAAGGCGTACCGAATGCTGTTTCAAGTAAGAGCTATAGCTACTAGTTGGCGAGTTTTCCTCTAATTGAAAATTTTGTTTAATACCAGCCGTGCAAAGACAGGCAATCACTGGTTTAAATCGAAAGTTTTTAACTGCATGTAAGGACTTCATTGTTGCCTGTTATTCCCGCAAGAAGAGGAAGTGAATTTATGTTCGTTAGTTGAGTTCTGCACTTCGAGCTGAAGTCAACAAAAAATTCTAATTGTCCACTTTTTCATTTCTGTTATATTTACTTAAAATTCCGGTATTGATCATTAAAAATGGGACAAAAATTAGCCTCGCTGACTAGAATATATACAAATAAAGATGAATGTCCGTGTGTTCGTAATTCATACAAATCTAGAGTTTTATTTCGATCTGAAAGGAATCTGACACTTTGACCTCCAAAACAAAAGAAAGGTCACTGTCGACATAAGATTTCGAAAAATAACACCATGTTGCGCATACTCAGAACGTTTATAGTAGGAAGCTGCCCTTACGACACCCATATTAGGGTCACGTCGCTTAAGTTGCGTTTTCGCTATCAGAGAAAGTCATACATGCTAAGCAAGGAATTTATAACCTTCTTTACCAAAAGTAAATATTAATATTTCTACACAGTTTCAGTTTTGAAATCCTATCACCCATCTTAGATTCACGTCAGCTTTGCTGCGTTCCCGCTATCAGATCTTACCTAAAACCGTTAGATGAAACCTTCCTTGCTTACTCATTAGAGCAATTTAAGATTTAATTTAAGAGAAAATTTAAGAACCTTTAAAAGTATAATTTGAATGGACCCGTTATCAGTTTTTCGGGATTATTTCGAAAACGGGGAAGAAATCGACCAAAGTGGATGGCGATTTTCCGAAAATTCATTTCCGAGAGGAAAATATTCTGGAATGGTTCAGGCTTTCAAGATCATCCAAAAGGGCTATTTTAATGTTTAATAATATGGTTTATCAGTAGGGAAAATAAATAGAGATGGTCCAGGTGAAATACCGGAGCATTTTATAGGATACCAGATGACTATACATTTAGATTAACATGAGAGCATTATTAACATGGGAGCATTTTGCTTTAATCAATTCGATTAAAAAGTAAATAATGATAATATTTTTTAGACTTGCGTCTATTGATTTTAAATAGTTTAGTTTGTGAATTAATAACAAAATGATTAAATTTAAAAGAATAATATGTTACATTTTTCCGAATCGGAACAGACTCGAATGAAAAGTGAAACAACTCAGTAAAGTTAAACAAAGCAAAATCGTGTGTCTGGAGACTAACCGCCCTCTACGGTTTAAAAAAAAATATCAAAATCATCGGCTTTTAGTGAAAATGCTACATGGCGCCGTGGTGCTTCTACATTATTCTATTTTTTTTTATACATTTTAGTACAATTTTAAACAATTCATCTTGAATGAAAATTATAATAAAATCACTGTGAATCTCAAATATAAAAATCTGATGTGTACATCACATGACTTCCTTGTATTGGAATATTAAATTATAGCATTTTTTCCTGCATTCATTTAACTTATTGGATTGAATTAAATCTACTTCGCCGACAGCGCATAAAAAACAATAGAATAAATGCATTCTTTTAAAATTCACTCTAGTATTTGTTTACCATAGCGACACTCTGGCGCTAGGATTCACACCGTATTAATAATTATATAGCAGTTAACTTATACAATAATTATATAACGGAAACTAGTTAACTGTTGTATAATCCAATAATTATATAACAGTTAACGTATATATTTTCGTTCATATTAATAACTCAGAATGCACAAAATTTATATCATCTTAAAGAACAATTACCTAATCGCTGCCACACGTTCTATTCAAATGCTGTAATAAATCTAAAAGGAAGTATGAAAGAAATTAAACAAACAAACAAAATAAAAGAAATAGTTTTTCAAGACGATTCAGTATTTCTCATTCAATTAATTCAGCTCTTAGCTTCGGTGATAAGGGAAAAATACAAAAAATCTCAAAATATATATATTAAAAATTACGAAATAAAATCGTAAACACTTATTTCCTCGAATAAATTCCAGAATGAATTAAGCATTTTTTAATTCGCAATAATAAATGAAGGGCGTTATCTTTGTTGTTTCGAAGCTATTTTTCTCTAGATTGGCAACAATCCACTAGTCTGCTGTTTCGAATGTAAAACAAATGGCCGCCATCAAAAAAAATTGTTAGGCTTAGGGGCACTTAAACAACTTTAAAATTGTTGATAATTCTAAAAATATTGCATAGAGATTTACTAAAGGCATAAAAAACTTAACCGGAAGATAAGAACAACATAATTCAATCATTTTTAAAGCAAAAAATGTACAATTTACAAACATATAAGAGTAAAGAAACTGAGATCACTGAGCCGGGTAACAGAGTGGATATATATATAAATATATTTATATACGTTTGGTGTGGCCGATTGCAACAAAAATACGAGGTGCACATCTACATGTTATAGTAGTCCTATATACAAAATTTCAAGGTTCTGAGGCTATTCGTTTTTGAGTTATGCGAGATACGTACGTACATTCACACGTTCGTACAGGCACCACGAAAAATTCTCTTCAGAATTCATTTTAAAGCAGTTTTATAATTTTTTGGAGGAATCGAGTATTTTATTCTGTCCTTAAGTAGAGATATCACGCAAAAACATCGTTAAATTGCATTCGATAGCGGTCAAAGTGGATATTTTCGTTGAAATATGCTGCCTGAAACTTTTCGCGATTACAATACTTCCTTTTTACTTCGTACAAGGAAGTAAAAAAACTGACGTTTTTTCCTAGAAAATACTAGTAATCCCGGCGGTCATACGAAATGACCGCTGTTCTAGATATTGTAAATTGTAATTAAAATGATCTGTGCAAAGGTATCTGCTAATTCAAACCGAATTAATCTGAATTAGTTTATTTACTGCACAAGATGAATTTCTGTTAAATACGCAAAGTGTAAATACTTGATCCCACTCCGGCAAGAATACTAAATAACAAATATCCTCGTGAACAGATTCCGTGAAATAAAGATATAATTACAGTAGTAAACCATTTCAAAAACAAATGATTGCCAATGCAAACAAATGTTCACGTTCCCCCTGACTCGCTCAATTTGCGTTCAGCTGAAAATTCAGTTTAAAATACAAAAACAGATTTAATAATTTTAAAGGGAAATGAATTACATGCATTCCATAGCCATTTTACTTTCACGTAAACTGAAAAACACTTTCCGAAATAAAATTATGTACCCTATTTTCTTAATGGACTCGATCCACTCGTTTATGTAGAAAAACTTAAATGAACTGAAGTTCAGAAGTCGTTGAAGAATAGCTTGGTAAAGAAAGCAAAACTGAATTTCTGTAAGCACGGATGCAGTAAAGTAGGTTTAGATAAAGAAGAACAAAATTCCAAAAGAACTCTGTCTTTAGCAGCACGAAAGAAGGAAGGGAGGGAAGCTTAGGTACAATGGCGACACTGACAAGTTTTACGAGAAATGTAAGGAAGCACTGGAATTTATGAATGCCGAAGTTTGAAAGTATGCCCTAGAGATTCTTCGGAGAACAGTAATATTTTTTTTAGGACGACATATTTCTTTTCTTTTCCACACTCTCCCAATTTCGTATAAATACAACACGAAAAGACTTTTGAAATAAACTGTATATCAAAAAGACACTAGCAACTCGTATGTTGACGGAAATATAGACTGATAAGGTTAGAGCTATTGATAAAATTAAAATCTGTTAGGTTTTAATTTTAATGGGAAAAACTTTAATGGGAAAAATTTTAATGGTAAAAACTTTAATGGGAAAAATTTTAATGGTAAAAAATTTAATGGGATAAAAACGGGAAATATTTATTGTTAACAAACTATTTCCCATCGCTATAAACTTTCCATTTACACAATACGTTCACAAAGTGTTAGGAATGCAATAGGCGCGGTTAATGTTATCACTAGGATATTGTTATTGGACTATGGAAGCCCTGCCCTTTCGTTTACGAATACGCGAAAAATACGTCTCTTATTGTGACCAATAATTCTATTAATGTGATCCAAACATTTTACAATACATTCTTTAAAGTGGAGTAAATCTGTCAAATAGGTGAAAATAAATTATAAAAATTGCCAAGGGACAGAGACAGGTTGCCAAGTGAGGAATTAAAACGCCAAAGAGCTTGGTTTGGATTTTACTCAACACTTCAAAATTAAGCCAAAAAGCAACACTATTTTAGATTGCTAGCCGGGCGTGCTTGCCAACTATAACCTGAAAGCCCGCTGTAAAAAAGGAGAAAATGCTATACACTGTCCTCCACTTAAAGGGCTATTCAAAGGGGAAGGAGCCAGTCACCAAATCCTGGGGGTGACGATTATCCTCCACCACATTTTAGTTCGGGCACCTTTTATAGAGTAACTAGAACTTTTAGAAGCCTGGAAACCGAAAAAATGAGTGATGACCTCTTCGGAATTCGAACTCCGGATCTCAGACTGCCAGCCAGATGTGCTTCCAATTACACCATGAAGGTATGGCACC